ATATAAGGAATATAATAAGCTAAATAACCAATACGATAATTTTAAGCTTAAGATCTATAAGTATGGTACAGATTTCGAAGATTATGATAGAATGATTAACATTACTCAACAATCTATTTTAAGAAAAATAGAAAATATTCGTATACATTATACTGCCCATAATAGATCACGTAGAGGTTTATTTAATGGAATTGGTAGTGTAGTTAGATTCATAACAGGTAATTTAGATTCACATGACGGAGAAAAAATTTACAAAATTATTAATCACATGCAGAACAATGAGAAAACCATTGAAAATCAACTAAAATTACAGTATTCTGTGAATCACGAGCTGATCAAAAATTTTAACTTCACTCTTCAAAATATTCATCACAATGAAAATCTATTAAAGTCAAAAATACTGCAACTGAACGAAATTGCGTATGCAAACACTATGAATGAAAATATTCTTTTTGCAAAAGACATTTATCACTCACTTTTAATGCTTTACAATTTTATTCTCAGTACATTGCAAGATATTGAAAATTCTGTTACATTCTGTAAGTTAGGAGTTATGCACCCGAGTATTATCAGACCAAGCGAATTACATAAGGAACTTTTGAAATTATCTTCCTATTATAAAAATATGCTTCCTTATGATGTCAAATTCGAAAATATGTTAGATTTTGAATCACTTATAAAGGTACACTGTAAGATTGATTTCAATCAAATTATTTACTTCTTATCTATTCCAATTGACTTCAACGATACATTTGAATTGTATTACATGCACCCAATACCTACAAAATATGGGTCAGAATTCATGTCGATTTTTCCAAATTTCGAATAATTTTTGGCATCGATTGATAAACAATCAATCAAACCTCTAAATGGCATTTGTACCAAAAGCAATATATACCACTGTCATCGTCAAGCCGAAGTTAGTACAAATATATCCTGTGAAGCCAACATTTTGAAAAATGGGAACGCCAACAGTTGTCATCTTACCAAAGTCAAGATTATCGAAAATCACATTGAACTTATACCAGAGATCAACCAGTACAGTCATTCAACCCAATTGAATCTGAAGAAATCGATTATATCACACCCAGTGCTTGGACTATTATCTTGTACATTTTATTCACGTCTATGGGCATTCTACTTATTTATCGAAGGTTCAAGAAGAATAAGAATGCACCTACACATCCTGCTCCAATTGCAAGGGAGTCACATACAAATGATCCAGAAGAAATCGAGCTACCTTCCAGGAAACTGAATCTTCCAGGAGAAGCTTCATTCTAGGGGTGGAGGAGTTATAGGGCTACCCTGTAGAAGCTAGAAAATAGAAAATGCAAGTCAGCATATCATCGCAGCGCCTAGCAACCGTTGAAATGCAACATGATATGTTTCCTGTTTTTACTCATGCTAACGAACATTGTACTTGTATAATTAAAATTTAGTCTTAATCTAACTTTCGTACCATCCACTACTGTATTTTCGGAAATAAATATTTTTTAAAAAGGCACTTACGTTATCCCGAAATATTAGTTATATATATATATATATATAGGTGAAAAATTAAAGCTTCCGCCTTTTGTTGGGTACTTCGACCAAATTTAAGCAAAGAGGACTCTTTATACTTTTTTTAATTCTCTCTAGCTTTCAATGGACTTTGCCATCATCATCAGGAGCTGCAATTACAATGATAACAGTAGCAACAAAAGTGTAAAATGAATTTAAATTGAATTAGCTTACAGTAGTATGTGAGGATGTTGCTAATTGTTGTTTTCGTATAGGATGAGGGAAACGTCCAGTAACATGGTGAGAGCTGGATACATGGTACAATGGTTAATATTATATAAAATATGACAAGACAAGTTAAAGACAGATTAAAAATTATTTAGAAAACATTAGAGCATTACGTCGTGAAGCCACTTGATGATTGCACAAAATGGTGGTCATGGAATAATGAGTGAGATGAACCTTTGACAGAAGGCCATTGAAAGCTAGAGAGAATTAAAAAAAGTATAAAAAGTCCTCTTTGCTTAAATTTTGTCGAAGTACCCAACAAAAGGCGGAAGCTTTAATTTTTCACCTAACTGGTCTAGACGACAATGACCACGTCTCAAGTTATATATATATATATATACTTTTTTGGGTTTTTTGCCACATTATATTCCAATATTAATGCTACTTCAGCATTCCGGAGAACACCATTGATCAATGTAAGAGTCAATCTATAGCTAGTCAGACTCTAAATTATAATAAAGTATGATGCATCAGAAAGTAAATTCTTTTCAGATATAACAAATGAGGGAAATAATGTTGGCGAACTTAATGGTGACATATTGTTAGCCTTGGGGGACGAAGTGGAATCGCCAGAAACTGAGGGCCCCCTATTCAACAGGATGTAGCCGACAGATGGAAAACGGTAATTAAGAAAGGATTGGAAGATGAAAAGAGGCGTGATATTATGAAAAAGTAGCCTCCTCCGGAGAATGCCCATAATTTTGGAGCCCCAAAGCTAAATACGGTGGTTAAACAAGCTATTGTGGATTCGGTAGCAAAAAAAGATTCTCGTCTCAGTTGTCAGCAGGCTCAAGTAGGATCTGGCTTATCTGCAATTGTAATTGTTATTTCAGACTTACTAAAAACAGAGGGGGAAATACAGAACTAATAGAAAAATTAAGCGATGCAGGACGCCTTTTGTCGGATGTCCACCATACACTCAGTGTATCTAGAAAGGAGCTTGCCATACTAAACTTGAATAAGGAATGGAAAGAGACTCTAATTGATTGTCCTGTTGATGAATGGCTCTTCGGGGAGGATTTGGAAGAAAGATTAAAAGCTGCAAAGAGTCTACAGTTTTCATCCAAGCAATTGAAAATAGTTAAAACGCCACAGCCAAAGAAAACTATTTCAAAAATACTTTAAACTACGGAGGTCCATCCAGTTATCAACGGGGAGCCAAACTAGGTGGACGATATCGCCAAGCTCCCAGCAATCCGGATTCCAGCAAGCAGTACAACTCTCGGTACAATCGCCAGGGGGAATATCCTCGACTGAATCAATACAAGAATGCGAAGAAATACCGCAAGTATTAGAGGTAAATAAGATTGCAGGACGTTTAAAGTATTTTACAGCTCGCTGGTTACAGTTTACCAAAGATACACGTATTTTGTCTTGGTTAAAAGGTGTTAGGCTACCCTTTCTTAAATTACCTAAGCAAACAATAGTTCCAAAAGAACAAGAATGGTCTGTAAAAGAACAGATTATAATTTCGAACTCTATTGAAAACTTATTGCAAATGCAAGCTATTTCACAGGTGGAACCTTGTGAGGGCCAATTTATATCAACCATTTTTATAATTCCCAAGGCAGATAGTACTTTTCGTCTAATATTAAATTTAAAAAAGTTAAATGTTTTTTAGAAACAAACCATTTTAAGTTAGAAGACCATAAAACGGTTTTCAAGTTGCTTAACCAGAATTGTTTCATGTCTAAATTAGATCTAAAGGATGCATATTACCTAGTTCCTGTGAGCAATAAGGATAGAAAATATTTAAGGTTCTATTTTAGGGGACAACTTTATCAATACAACTGCCTTTGCTTTGGTATAAATTTTGCCCCAATGTTATTTACAAAGTTAATGAAGCCTATTGTGTATTATCTCAGGATAAAAGGATTTACGTCAGTGGTATACTTGGATGATTCTTTATTAATTGGTAGGACCTATGATGATTGTTTGCTAAATGTCTCTAGCACTGTTTCTATTTTAGAACATTTAGGATTAATTATTAATCATAAGGAGAGTGTCTTAGTCCCTTCAAATACTTGTGTTTATTTAGGTTTTCAGTATAACTCCTTATATATGACTGTTTCAATACCAATAGAAAAGCGTCAGAAACTGATCGAAATATTGAAATATTTTAAGAACTGGAAACAGTGCAAGGTTAGGGATTTCTCTAAAATAATAGGGAGATTAATATCTGTGTGTCCAGCCATAAGGTATGGGTATTTATACACGAAATCAATGGAGCGAGAAAAATATTTAGCTCTTAGACAACATAATGGGTCTTATAATGCTGTAATGAAAATTTCTAATAGAATTGTTAGTGAAATTGACTGGTATATAAATAAATTAGAAATTAATACAGCAAATTTTATTAGAAAGGACAAATTTGAAAAGGTAATTTTTTCAGATGCGTCTAATACTGGCTGGGGTATTTACTGCGATAATATTATTTCGCACGGTTTATGGTCTGAAGAAGAGAAAAATAATCATCATATAAATTATTTAGAATTACTGTCGGTTTTCATTGGGTTAAAGTGTTTTGCTAAAGATCTATCTAATTGTTCAATTTTATGCAGGGTAGACAACACTACGGCTATGTCGTATATAAATCGCATGGGAAGTGTGCAATATCCAAAATTAAATGATCTTACCCGCAAAATTTGGCAATGGTGCGAACGTAAGAATATTTATTTGATGGCTTCATATATTAGGTCATCAGATAATGTGGAAGCTGATAGGGCTTCACGTGATTCGAAAATCGACACGGAATGGTCACTTCATAACTCGGCTTATAATAAATTGACCGCAGTGCTAGGTAACCCAGAAATTGATCTTTTTGGCAGTCGGATAAATAATAAATGTAGGAAATATGTTTCATGGCTTAGGAATCCTGATGCTATGGCAATAAATGCTTTTACCATACACTGGGGAAAATTTATTTTTTACGCTTTTCCCCCATTTTCAGTAATTTTAAGTATTCTACAGAAAATAATTAATGACCAAGCAGAAGGCATCATGGTTGTGCCCAATTGGCCAGCACAACCGTGGTATCCGGTTTTTACGTCTCCGTTAATATCTGAACCTATGATTCTTGAACCTAAACCAGACTTATTATCTTTTGGCAGAATTCCACATCCGCCATCGGAACACCTTTCCCTGATGGCAGGTCGATTATCCGGGAAGCGCTTAAGCTAGGCAAAGTGCCAACCGACTCCTTGAAGATTTGCATGGCCTCAATCTCAGAGTCTACCTTAAAACAATATAGTTCGGGTTTAAAACTATGGTGGGAGTATTGCTCTACCAAGAAAGCAGATCCCTATTCGGTTTCAGTAGTAACCGTCTTAGAGTTTCTAACCTATCATTTTAAGAAAGGAGCATCTTATAGTTCTTTAAATACTTATCGGTCTGCTATAGCTCAAGTAGCGGGGCGAGACTTGGCACAGGATTACAGGATTCAGAAATTTTTCAAAGGAGTCTATATGCTTAGACCAAGTTTACCGAAATATCAAAATACTTGGGATCCAGTAGTTTCAAATTTTCTAAGGGAATGGAAAAACAAAGATATCACTTTGAGGAAATTGACCCAAAAACTTGTAACCCTTTTATCATTGGCCACAGGTCAACGTCTTCAAACTTTATCCCTTATAGAAATCACGCACATTTATAAATCAGAGATCGAAATAAATATAGCGGTGCCCCAAAGAATTAAGACCTCTGGTAAAGATCAATCCCAGCCATTTTCCCACCTTCCTTTTTTAAACTCGGATCCGGAAGTTTGTGTGGCTAGGGTAATCCTTACCTATCTTGAGAAAACAGAAAATCTAAGGGGTTCTGAAACAAGTTTAATTCTAACCAGCAAAATGCCTTGCCGTAGAGCATCTACGCAGACCTTAAGTCGCTGGATTAAGATTATTTTAGATAAAAGTGGCATTGACGTACACAAATTTTCTGCGCACAGTACCAGGCATGCGGCGACGTCTGCTGCAAAAAGAAAAGGGCTAAATATGGACACAATTCGTCTTTTCGCGGGTTGGTCTAGAGACTCTAGGATGTTTGCTCAAGTATATAATAGGCCACTATTGTCAGATCAAACATTTGCAGAAGCTGTACTTACATGTTAGTTATTAAATTTTTTTCTGAAAGATGATGTTACTTACAGGGTTATAATTACATATATTACTTACTTACTATTAACTAACACCATTATTACTATTACTATTATTATTGTTACTTATATTGCTTATGTAATATGACATTGTGAACATAAATGATATACCTACCATAGGTAATATGCAATATTATATAGGTAGTTCATTTTCTGTTTGAAATAGAAAATTCGCAATGTATGCAGTCTCTAATTGTTGCAATAAACTCTAAATATCTACGTATTACTATTTTTCGAGACGGGGCCGAATATAATCATAAGATCAAACGAACTTACCTGTGATGTTCGATCTTGATTATATAAAGGCCCCGTCGAAGGAAAATAGGGTCCCAACCCATCCCATTCCCCAAAAATATAATTGCAACAATTCATCAGCTTTAAAATGGACTGAGTACGAGGACGGCAGCGGGGAGCGGCGGGAGGGGTTATGTTTGCTTTGAAATGTATGACCGATTCGCTAGAGATGGGGATACTACGTATTACTATTTTCCTTCGACGGGGCCTTTATACAGGGTGACTTTGAAGTTGAGTCATTAATTTTCAGATAATGATTGTAGAAGGAAGATAAACCAAAATATGTGTGTAAAAATAAAAAAAAATTAAAAATTTTTTTTTACCTTGTTTTATAAAGTATCCTCCCGACAAGTATTTCAGTGCGGACCTGTATTTGATCGTGAGGTCTTGGAGCACCGGCATGCAGTCCCCTGTGAGGTCTTAAGTCACCTGATTCACGAGCCCGTTGTACTACATTAACAAAGGCACAAGGGGTTGATTGCACTCGATTGGGAAACCGATCCGCATAAATATGTGCCATTTTTTATTTCGTTTGAGCCACGCAGCAAACACCACTATTCACTCACGCGTTACCGACTGAAACAGACTGAATAAAAACATCGTGATCAGCGTTTCAAATTCTTTCGCTTTTTTGTTTCCGATGCCATGAACCGATAAGGCGGAGTATATCCGTTGTCGCCAAACACGAGCACATAATATTATTATTGAGACAGGGCGGTACTCAAACTTCTAAAGGGGTATAACTTTGTTACTTTAATTTTACCACAAAAATGTTAAAGGAAAAAAACATTTCTTTTGATCAGATCTACTCACTGTTAAAATAAATGACTCAACTTCGAAGTCACCCTGTATAATCAAGATCGAACATCACAGGTAAGTTCGTTTAATCTTATGATTTTACTTCGCTTTTTCTTCCTCGGTAATTACACACGTAGTATCGAAGATCCATACCTGCCGGTACAGTTAGAAGCAAAAAAATTAAAGATAAGCAGATAACCACATTCCTTGGTCCCACCAGTAGTCACTTCGAAATTTGTACCTGCCGGGTAAAGACGTGTTTACATGCGTCGTGTGAAATTGTTATACGTTTGAAATGCCAAAAAGACAGAGTGGTGGTAGTGGTGATAGTGGTCCTAGAAGGAAGAGGGGAAGGAAGTATCATAGAATCTTGGATGAATTAAAACGCCTCAAGAACAAAATCACAAGGGATTCTACAAGCGACAGCAGCTCTTGCGTTTCTGATGATGACCAAAGTAAGTGTTTTGAGGAATCTGAAACCTAGAATGTTCGTTGTGCAATTGTTCTATTGCACGTTTAATTCGTAAAATATACACGTAGTCGTTATACTACGGAAAGAAAATTTTGCCGTTATGCAAAAAATGTAAACAAAGGTCACCTTGTCCTTCTAGATAATTTTGTCGTTATACAAAATGTAAACAAAGAACTTTTTTCGTTCTTTCTAGACATATCTGGTACTGAGATGATGAATCAAATTATTACTGAGGCCGAAATTCATCCAATACCTTCTGGCTCGGCTGTTTCAGCGGGTGTTCCGCCAGAAAATATCGATGCATCTGGGGAATTTGAATTTTTGGGGGCAAAACCGAAATCAAAAAACACTACGTCGCAACCACTACACACAGAATTAAGTGTACGTTGGAATGCGTTTCTACAAGATGGTGTCGATAAAGAGTGCCGTGAAAAAATAATGGAGAAGTACCCCCTTTTTGAAAATTGCCCCTTAATGAAATCACCAGTGCTCTCTCCAGAAGTTGCTTCATGCCTGGATGATAAAACATTACGCCAAGATAACTTTATGAGAAAGATACAGCAGCAAACGGCCCATTCTCTGGCTATTTTAGGAAGCCAAATAAACAATTTACTATCAAACGACCCTAATGGTTCGAAAGTAGCTAGCTTAGCAGATGCAGCGCAGCTGAGCCGCAATGTACATCATGCTATATCTACACATCGGAAATATAATATTTTGCCTTTCCTTAAACCTTCAGATCGAAAGCTAGCGGAAACATCTAAAACAGATGAATTTTTATTTGGCAAAAAATTTGTAGTAGATTTGAAATCTTTAGATGCTGCGAAAAAGGCCAGTTTTGAACTTAAATCTAATAGAGCCCGCCTGTTTCAAAAAGCTCCTCTTATCTCAACCAACAAACAACAGCCTATAGCGTACAATCGCCAGAATTATCCCGATTTTCAAACCAAGAATTTAAACTGGAAGCGCCAGCCTCAGAAGTCCACAAAGAAAAATCCTCGATCAGGAGTGAAGAAAGAAGACCACAGACGCCGGTAGTAGTCGAACAATAGGTCAGTGTTGATTGTAATCTGTATGCGGGCCGACTGACATACTTTTTTCGTCGATGGGAAAACATCACTAATGATAAGAAGATATTAGACTGGGTTAAAGGAGTTGTTATACCCTTTGTCACTTTCCCACGGCAAACTTCAGTCAAACATGTCAATATTTCGTCAAATTAATTACAGGCTTACGACCTGGCAATTAGAGAACTATTGAGACTAGGTGTTGTTTCACAATGTCAGTATGAACCTGGTGAATTCATATCACCTTACTTTTTGATCAAAAAGCCAAATGGGAAATCCAGATTTATCTTAAATCTCAAAGAACTCAAATTTATAAATGCTCCACATTTCAAACTGGAGGACTATCGTAGTTTACTAAAATTTTATATCACATGAATCTTATTTGGCAAATATTGACATGAAAGATGCATATTATATGGTAGCAATCAACAATGATTATAAAAAATATCTTAGATTTATTTTTAATGGAAAACGCTATCAATTTAATTTTTACCATTTGGGTTAAATATAGCGCCATATATATTTACCAAACTTTTGAAACCGCTCGTTTCAGTGCTACGGAAAACTGAGAATCTATTGTTTGTTATATATTTAGATGACATTTGTATAGTCGAGTCAACCAAAGAAAAGTGTCAAAAAGCCGTTAAATGCTGCATTACGTTGCTCGAGTATTTGGGCTTCAAAATTAACGACAAAAAAAGCATGACAATGCCGACCTTCGTAGTAACGTTTTTAGAATTTACATATAATACGGCAAATATGATCTTTTATTTGCCCGAAAATAAAAAACAGGATTTGAAAGATTCATTACAGAATTTCAAAAATAAAGATAAATGTTCAATATTATTCCTTGCACGGCTAATAGGAAAATTGGTAGCAGCTTGTCCAGCCGTAAAATATGGATGGGCGCACGTGAAAAACTTTGAAAGAGAAAAATCTATGGCATTGAAAAAGTTTAATAAAAATTACAAAAAAGTTATTGGTGTACCTGAGTACTTGAATGAAGACATCGATTGGTGGATTGATAATATAGATAAAACATCTCAAAGTATGAATAACAAGTAACACTTCGTTTTGGAGATATTTTCGGATGCTTCTACCTCTGGTTGGGGTGGGCATTGTAATGATCTCTCCATACATGGATTTTAGTCCCAGGAGCAAAAGAAGCATCATATTAATTATTTAGAGCTACTAGCCGCACTTTTTACACTAAAGTCATTCGGTAAGAATTGCAAAAACTGTGATATTTTATTGAGAATAGACAGTAAAACTGCCAAAGCTTGTATAAATAAAGGAGGCAGCATCCGTTTCAGTAAATTGACTAATATCACTAGAGCTATATGGGACTGTTGTGAATCGAAAAACATCAGTAGCTTTGCCTCCTATATTCCATCCAAAGAAAATACACATGCTGATTTACAATCAAGATCTCTATCAACTCAGACGGAATATGAGTTGAACAACAAAGCTTTTCAGTCAATTTGTAAGAAACTCGGAACACCTGAAATCGACTTATTTGCAACTAAATTAAATGCTAAATGCAAAATATATGCTTCCTGGGGCCCAGATCCTGACTCTACGTATATAGATGCATTTACAATAAAATGGAATTTGTTTTTCTATGCATTTCCTCCATTTTGTTTAGTGTCCCAGACACTCAACAAGATTATGAAGGACAAGGCAACAGGGATTGTAATAGTGTCTAATTGGCCAACACAACCCTGGTATCCTTTATTTATCAGACTGTTAATATCCGATCCAATCGTGTTAGGTCCTAGAACAGATTTGCTTTCTTCTCCTTTCAGGACATTTCATCCACTACACCAGAGGCTTACATTGGTTGCCGGGAAATCATCCGGAAATCAACGATTAAGAGGGGCGTTCCAGAAGAGGTTATTCCTAACAGCATCTATTAGTAAGGGCACCCTAAATCAGTATGACATATGTTATCGGAAATGGTGGGAGTTTTGTGTTAATCTGAATTCTGATCCACTAACGCCTAATCTAAAAAATAATTTGTTGTTCTTCACAGAACAGATGAATAATGAATTATCTTACTCTAGTCTAAACATATATAGATCAGCACTAAGTCTTATTATTGAACAGTCACTACATGACGACAGAATAATAAAAAGATTTCTGAAGGGTGTATATAACCTTAGACCACCAATGCCAAAATACCAGTCCACTTAGGACCCTGAACCAGTACTTTCATATCTAAAAACACTCTACCCTCTTGATTCATTGACCATAGAACTCTTGACAAAAAAACTTGTAATGTTACTGGTATTAGCTTCTGGTCACAGAGCACAAACCTTATCCAAAATTTCGCTAAATAAAATTTCAAAAGTAAAAGATAGGATCGAAATAAAAATTAGTGAAAAAATAAAGATCTCGGGAAGAAACAAACTTCAACCTGTTTTGATACCTGCTTACCTTAAAGAATGCCCTGAGATATGTGTAGGTTCAGTGTTAGAATACTATATAGAGAAAACCAAAGACTACAGAGAATCTAATACTTACCTTATATTAACGCATGGCAAGCCCATTCATCAAGCTACATCACAGACAATAACCAGATGGCTTAAAGATGCATTGAAAGCTAGTAGCATAAATACAGAAATTTTTAGTGGACATAGCACTCGTCATGCCGCGACATCTGCGGCATCTCGATCAGGAGTTTAAATAGACACTATTAAAAACTGCGCTGGTTGGACCGCAAAATCTGATGTGTTCAATAGATTTTATAATCGCCCAATAATAGAAAATCCTATTTGTTAAAGTACAGCCTCTTGTAAATTAAGCGAACTATGCGTTTTGAACAAACTTCATTTAATAACGTACAATAACAAGTACCACTTTCTACATCGAATGGTAAACTGCGAATAAATACAACATCCATGTGAATCACTTTTTGCAGCTCGGCAGAGTGTTTTTTCCCGTCGTTCTTGCCGACCGGTCCGTGGTGACTCACCCAAACCACACGTACATATTGATACGGCTGATTCGATCTTTTCCTAACACTCGGCCATCCTGCAGAAAGCGTCCTCGCGTCTACCTATTTTTGTTATTCCTAGAAAAAAGAAAACAAAATGTGTGCAATTACTTGATAACAAACTCTTAATACTCTATACTTAGTTCTTTCTATGCTACCTACATACATATTATTATCTATTATTTACATACATATGTATATGTGAGCCTTTCGCTGAATCGCTACGCTACGCCAATGAATATGTTTTGCTTACTTCTGGTCTCCGTGAAATTCCGATGTGTTTCGATGTGTTTTTTCAGTCTTGTAACAGATGCTGGAGTGAATACATGTGATACAAGTTATGAAGTGTTTGATTTTCCCTAGGAAAGATGATAATTTTCTCACATCAGAAGTGGGATTCAACTCGCTAAAAGGACCACAGAAGAAATACATAGTGCAACCTGACTTATTTCGAGTGTGCGTGCGTGAGCACTTCATTGTCCTGAGGGCATATACCTAGTGAGCGTTACTTTTGGCAGTGATACTTAAGTGCTAAAAGTCTGTCGAAATGGAGGAATTAACTAGTATTTTAACTGCAGTTCTTCGAGGAATTCAGCAGCAACCCTAACAAGCCGCAGCGGCGCCGGTGGTGCCAGCACTCTCTGCGCCAATAAACATTCCAGCTTTCGATCCCTGAAAAAGCGATGCGGGAGCGATGGGTTGGTGCGGCGATATGGAGACCTTGGCGACCACGTTCAAGTGGACTGATTTTGAACAGCTTTGCAGAGCCGCGGGTGCCCTGGAAGGTGACGCAAAGGATTGGTATGACAACTGGTACCCATCAAATAAAGTTTGGGCTAGTTTCCGGGCCGATCTTTGTCAGCTTTATCCTGCGAAGAGGAATCTTAGTGAGCGGTTACGTAAAGCTAGTATGTACAGAAGTGACCAAGCCACGGGATATTGTGAGTACGCAAGAAAAAAAATATCTTTGTTAAATTCTCTAGATTTTAATTGAGTGATAGTCAAATAGTTGAGATAGTTATTGGTGATATAACGGACACACATGTCAAAACAGCTGCTTTTAATAGTAGCGTTGATTCCATTTCGAGCTTACTTAACTTGCTTAGCAACTATCAAATTAATAAACAACACTCTCAGCTTCAAGTAGGGTCGCCAAAACGCCCGATTTCGTTTAAACATAATGATGAGGGAAAAATATGTTATTCCTGTAAAAAACCTGGTCATATCAGCCTGAATTGTTTTAAATCGCTTAAATTATTTAAATACGATAATACTAATAAGGCGAGAAGCTCAAATAATCTGCCAGGTATTGCGAAACCCTGTGAGATCTGTAAGAAATTCGGGCATAATTCTGAAAAATGCTTCTTCAAAAGTCAAAATAAAGCAGAGAAGTCGTCCAGATTCTCCAAATTAAACTATTTCTGCGTAGATCTAGATAATGACTTTTGCATAAAATTCAAAATACAAAATTTGACCGTAAACTGTTTGATCGACACGGGTGCAGAATGTAGTTTGCTATCAGAAAAAGTCGCCCATAAATTGCACTGTCATTTCGAACCAACTTTCACAATGTTAAAGGGTATAGGAGGCAACTCAATACCAAGTTGTCAAAGGGCTAATTTACTAGTTGAGAGAGAGAGGACGGCATTTGAAATTAGTTTTTATGTTGTCGAAACTTCTGCTATGGAATTAGATGCAATTTTGGGTAGAGATTTATTTAATCATAAAGGAATCAGAATTTGCACTGACTCATGTGGGTCTAGAATTTATCTCGATGACACAAATAAAATAGAATCTAAAAAGATTCAAAACGTAACAATTTCTCCCGAGAAAATTCAAACACCACTGAATGGACATGATTTCGACGCCTTGTTGAAATTATTATCAAAATATAGAGATTCTATAACTGTTGGTAATTCCGTGAGGGCGGTAACAACCGGTGAAATGGAAATCAAATTAAAAACCGATAAAATAATTTGTTATAACCCTTACCGAATGTCATTGTCCGAACGAGAAAAGGTAAAAGATATTATTGACGACCTCTTGCAAAACAATATCATACGAATTAAGAATGTGCAAACAACGAACGACTTTTTAAAAAAGCGACTTTATTTAACAGAAGACGAATGAGTACTGGTCACCTTGGTTTACATGCATCTCTTACTTATAACCTACGCTAGAACAAAAGAATCGAAAAGTGCAAACCTAAGCAATTCTACATATTAGATCATCATCATAGCAGTGTCGTAATTCCTTCCTCTTCAAGAAGATTGAACCTCCTGGTTCAAAGGAGAAATCTGGTTAAGTTCAATGTCATTTTTGACTGATTGATTTTTTGGTTCTTTTTGATTCAAAAGAGAGAGCAATTGTTTTTTTAAACAAAGTATAATTACAATAAATGTTAAAATACATAAAAAAGTTACAATGCTAAACGTGGACGTTTTGTGTGAAAAATCTAAATTTTTTAATTTATCGTGTAATAAAACATTATTCAATTGTATATCCGAATAACCCTTTACATCAGTATTTTCAAATAACATATTCTTATCATAGTTCACCATAATGTTAGGTATGTATAAATGTTTCGAAATATCAGAAATCTTCAAATACTCAGTATGATCAATAAATGTTTTACAGTTTAAGCTGATAATAAAAGAGGAATCAATTTCTTTTCTTTCTTTGGTACAATCTTCATATACTGGAATATTCTTGTTAATATTCACTAAATCTCTTACTTCGCTTTTCAGCTGAGAAATAACGTATTGGAAAGCATACGAAACAAAAGGTGTATTAACAAATCTGCAATAAACTTTTCTGAATTATCCAAAAAATAAATTAGATCTCTGTGACCTCCATGATATTCTGGTATCATATATTTAGCTACATTGAATTTAATTTGTAAATCTTGAAGAGACATGGTTGACTGATTAAAATTAAGACGTGAGGGTGTCAAAATAACTTGTCTAACAGGTGTATTTTCGACTACAGATTCAAATTCAGAATCGGACATTAAATATATGCAATTAAAGTCTCTGAATAAGTTTACTTATAGATAGCTTTTACGAGTATATATAAATGGTAAGCAATAGAGGGCGAAAAAGTTTCGAGAAATAAATGGAAAAATCACTGAGCACAGCAAAAAATTGTAAATGTTGTTTCTTACGCTTCAGTGGGCACTAGCAGCTTCATTTGGAGAGATCTGAGGTACCTCCTTGGGCCAATACAGCTCCTCCTGGTTGACAGCTTGCCTACCGTGGATCCAGCACCTCGCTCCTGTCAGTTCCTGTCGTTTTCTCAAGTGTCGTTGCCTGCTCCCAAAATAATAATAATAATAATAATAATATTCTTTATTGCCAGCAAAATTTTAAAGAAAAAACATAAGCAACGTCAAAAAAAAAATGTAATACAATACCAACGGGATATTATATGTATGTTTACAATATTAAAAACTATTAAAATGACAAATAAAAGTCCAGTATGTCACAACTTTGCTTAAAATGTTATTAAAATAAAATAATGGAGCTCAAATGTTAAAATCAAAGCTGTACAAACATCTGTCCAGCAAAAACTTTTTCACCGCTCTTTTAAACCTAATAGGCTTGCTCTCGGATCTTATATCTATAGGAAGCATATTGAAAGTTTTGACAGCCATGTATAATGGAGCCCTCTTAAAAAATGCGGACCAATGTGCAGGCACACTCAGATTTTCTCTGCCTCTGGTCACAACGGTCATACTTTTAGCATAATAATGTGCGTTACTATTAAAAAGATACATATGCTTTTTAACAAATAAAACAAGTGCCAAAAAATATAGTGATGGAACCGTCAAGAATCCCAATCTTGAAAAACGTTCCCGACATGATGTTCGAGAATGAAATCTCAAAATGCACACAGGATGCGCTTTTGCGCTATAAAAACTGACATGGCACCCCGCGAAGAGCCCCAGAACATTATACTGTAAGTTAACAATAACTGTACAGATGAATAATAAAATTGCCGTAAAGTGTTCAAGGAAACCTCATTTCGCAGCCGCCGCACCAACGCACAGAAGCTGTGGAGCTTACCAACCAAAACAAATGTTTGACAATCCCAATTCAGACTCGAATCCAGGTAAATGCCCAGAAACTTTATATCGGTCATCTCTGGTATTGGTCCGCTATTGCAACGAACCAACAGCGACTCATCCTTGGCAGATGATTTACTGAAAGTGAAAAGTCCAGTTTTATCAGCATTCAATCTTAATGCATAATCCTTGCACCAATCCTGCATGGTCCCCACTGCACAAGAACAGACCCCGGACAAGCCAGACATGTCCGACGCAGTCAGCACAACAGTAGTGTCGTCCGCATACTGGCAAATCAGACCTTCCATAAATCTGTCACGAAGACCATTCACATAGAGCAGGAACAACAACGGTCCCAGAATTGATCCCTGCGGCACACCCTGTTTAATCAAGGTAACTGATGAAAAATGCCTAACACCATTTTGGGTTATACAGACAAGCTGCTCCCTACTGTCAAGGTATGATTCTATAAGCTGTGCACATTTACCTCGTATTCCATGTTTAGACAGAATTTTAAGGAGTATTTGATGGTCTATGGTGTCGAAGGCCTTAGACAGATCAAAAAACAGACCGGCCACTTTTTCATTCTTATCCACATTTTCAACAATATAAGTAAGAACTTTAACCCGGCGTTGGTACGGTGGCGTTTACAAACATTAGTGGTACGGTGGGGTATGAGCATTCATTGAAAGAGAAATCCATCAAGGGTGCAATTTAGGTGTTGTAGGTTATTCCATTTCTCTTTTTTATCAAATTTATATGTGTAAAGGAGAAGTGGAAGCACCTGTAATTTCGTTAATTTTCCTTTTCAGACATAAAGATATTCTGGGATTTTGTCGATTTCTCATATGAGGCATAATCATTTTTAGTGCCAATTCTTTGATAAATTCGCGACGTTTGATAGGAGTTCCAACATTGGAAAGGTATACCACAAAAGCGTTGATTGATGCTGTATTCAATAACGAAAAAAATATGGTCAAGGGCCACCTTCTACTATTACCTGAAACATTATAGT